TCTGCACCGTGATGATCCCACATATTTACTTTACCTATCCAGAAACAGTGCGCTGGCCCACGACTCCTTCAACCTAAAGGCTTGACTGACGAAAATCAATAGGCCGGCAAAACTTTGGAAGAAATCGACGTCATTTTCGACGAAAACATTGCACCGTGGAAGAGCCGCCACGCCGGTCCTTCTCTGCAGGCCCGTGTTGCTGATCTCAAGGTGCAGAAGGGAGCAATTTCCGCAGAGCAGAGGGAGACGGTTTAGTGTGCTTGGGCGTTACAATTATAGGTTGCCTGGTAGCCTTGTCGTGGTGCTCTGGCGCCGCCCTTCGTTGCTGGCTGCGCATATCAACCTCGCCCAAAAACGCATTGATTGCGCTGGCTAAGTGACCTACCATACCTAGAGAGGTGACATACCTAGGGAGGTGACATACCTAGGGAGGTGACATTCCTAGGTAGGTAAGGTAGATTAAAGTCGACCACACCAGCAAATTTGATCAAGTGAGGTAACTTGGTTACCATTCAGATCCTGAATTTAAGCGAACAAGTCCGAATTACTTGTAAATCGAAATCCGCACCACCCAATCGATGACAATGCCCGTTGTGGTTCTGACAGGAGTTCCATCGCTTGCAGCGGTATTCAATTGTCACATGTAGAACGGAGATCGTCGGTGAATCTGTTCGGTGTAGAAGTGGACAGGCTTGCCAAGAATCAATCCGACCTGGCGGGCTTGGCGGCTCTGCCCCACTGGTGACGCAAATAACAATCGCGCCTGGTCATCATCTTGTTATCATGAGCAAAAGTACGCATCACAAACATTCAAGCCCATGGTTGTTGACCAGCAGTCGTGCATGTAGTCGCTCTTTCACGGCTGCGGCATACTTGTGAGGCGAAGCTCGGAAATTGTACCCAGACGTATCGCCGAAGTAAACTTGTGATCTCTCGCCTGGCGAATTTAAGACCTGCCATCCGGCACAATGGGCCGTCCAACTACCTAGATCACAGCCCAGATGTCATGCTGTCCGGGCAACCCCCAGGTACGCGGAGGAACTCGCATCAATGCTGACCAAGGCTCACGTTAGAACGGGGGAACTCCAATCGTCATCGGCGTTTAGCGGGCGCCAAACCCGGCAGTTAGCTGTAACATGTCCGACAACAAATATACCCACTGCGGATCCTTCCCGTATCGCCGACGAAGGCTTGGAAGGGTACCCAGCCCCAGACTTGATCGCAGGTTTGCGAGCTTTGTACCCCTGGCAATCGAAGGCCCTTGGTCTGCATGACGCTGAGGTGAGCTCCTGGCAGGGGAGCACGAGCAAAGCTCTGCGAGTTCTGCATCATGGCGGGGTAACGCGCGCTGGCCCCTGCCGAGACATCGGTCGCAGAAGCATTCGAAGCTCTATTCGAAGGAGAACGAAGCCCAAAGATCCATGTCTACCCAAGTATAAATTCGAATGCCCCTCACCCATCTATTGTGGCGAGCGAGGATTAACAAATTCAAGATACCCCTCGACTCCCGCAACTTCACGAACACCTGTCACTGTCAACCAACCCAACATTCACACCGAATCTAACTCCTCTACACAATGGCGTCCACCACTAAGCCCAAGGTCCTCGTCATCCTGACTTCTGTCGATACCATTCCCAAGTCTGGTAAGACCATCGGCTGGTACCTGGTAAGTTGCTCTGTATCTTTCGATCCTCTATCCAGCCACTGACACTAGACAGCCTGAGCTCGCTCACCCCTGGGAGGTCCTCCGCAACCGCGCAGAGCTGACCTACGCCTCTCCCAAGGGCGGCGTCGCCCCCCTCGACCCCATCTCCGTCGACCTCTTCTCCTCCGACCCCGTCTGCAAGGACTTCCTCGACAACCACAAGGCTATCTGGGAGAACACGCAGAAACTGTCCTCTTTCGCTGGACGTGCCTCCGAGTTTGACGCCGTCTTCTACCCCGGCGGCCATGGTCCCATGTTCGACCTCGCCTTTGACGAGGACTCGATCGCGCTCATCAAGGACTTCGACGCCCAGGGCAAGGTCATCTCGGCCGTCTGCCACGGCCCTGCCGCCTTCGTCAACGCCAAGGACGCCGCCGGCGAGCCCCTTCTCAAGGGCAAGACCGTCACTGCCTTCACCAACGAGGGTGAGGACATGTTCAAGTACACCGAGGAGATGAACTTCTCCCTCGAGGACAAGCTCAACGAGGTCAGCGGCGGCAAGTTCGTCAAGTCCGAGGAAGGCCCAATGGGAGAGAAGGTCGTTGTCGACGGCAGGATTATCACCGGCCAGAACCCTGCCTCGTCCAAGGGCGTCGGTGAGGAGATTGCCAAGGCGCTGGGTGTTTTCTAAGCGATCCATATCTGGAATGATTTAATGACAAGTTTGATACCTCTTTCACAAAACAATGTCCATTCGCCGTCTTGCATGTCAGGGACTTTTTGACCAGGAACGAAACCGTTGTGCAAGTCTTGCAGCGTTCTGTCATTAAAAGAAGGCAAATCAATGTGGTGTGAAGTTGTCTCTGCTGCATGTGTGGCATCCCAAGCTCAGCATTTGCAATTGCACGTGTTAGTCCGCGTGGTCCGTGGCTGTTGGCCCTGCATCTTTTTTGGCGTGTTATTACGTTCAATGCTTCCCTGGCTAAGTCACTTGGGTGCTTCAGGGGCGTTGGCAAAAACATCGAGATGAGTCTGGGGCGTGCGATCGTTTGATGGATCATGGCCACTGTGTTCTGCCCAGGCGCGTAACGTCTGCCGTCAGCGAGGCGAACATATAGACCGCTAAGGCCGGCAGCCACAACAATACAAGAGTAATACCAAAATAGAAGATAATGTCTTTTCGATCTTGGTGCACCTGAAAATGCCGAATTTTTTTCATATCCGGAGAACATACTAGTGTCCTCGTCAGGGCTCCATACCGGCCCATCGCACAAGCGTCGCAGCAAATATATACCTCAATTTCGAGCCCCACGACAACAATAGAACCAGGTCTGGTGGTGTAGTGGTTATCACGTCAGTCTCACAATGAATCTTGACCTCAAATCGAGGCACTGAGCGCACTGAAGGTCGGGAGTTCGAACCTCCCCTAGATCATTTTTTGGATCATGATCGATCAGATTCTTCCATATGCACCCACATCTGTATTCTTGCGTGATAGCTTGGATATGCTAGAGCAAACTGATATCCCACTTGCGATCTGCCGTCTTGTAGGCGAGGAAGAATTTCTTTTAATTTAGTTCACTTTGTTTGTTATGGAAGGGGTTGAATCTGGGAGTAGGTGACGAAGTATCTCCGGTATCAACTTTGACTATTTCACATATGCACTGTAACTTCGATGCCACTTTTCCAAGATCTTGCCTGACTTGATCTATTGTATGTGTATGATAGCATTAGAGTCACTACAGATGTTGCCTGTTGGATCGTCTTATCATTAGCAGACAGCAGGGCAAAAGAAAGTGAGTACTTCCACGAAGCTTCAAAGGCAACTGGAATGACGATACGTCGAGAGAATTTTCAAGCGTGAAGCTTGCTGCCGGCCGCAGAAGCACCTCAAAACGAGTGAGTATTTGATGGCAAAATGATTCAGGGGAGGCTCGAACTCCCGACCTTCAGTGAACACCATTCCGCGTCATACGAAGCAACGATGAAATGTTAGACTGACGTGATAAACCAACTACACCACCGAACCGTTCATGGGGGCGGCATGTAGCAGTGTAGTAGAACAGTCTACCAGATTGTGTGGGATGGGTCTAGATGGGGCTACGGGGTTTGTCCAGGGCCCCATCGTGAGGTTAAGCGACGTGTTGGTTTAGGCTCCAAGTGTTTGACACCCAGCTCCAGTGTGTACCGCCAAAGCCCCACCTCAGAGTACCTGCTCAACTGTTATCCAACTGGAAACATACTTGTTTTCCAATGGTCAGAATTTGGCCATCAGCATAACCTCCGGGCTAGATGTCAGCGCAAGGAACGAGTAGAGTAGAGAGATCTTCCGTAGGTAATATCCGTAGTCAACTGTTAGGTAGGGGATAGGAACACTTCTACACACTCTCTCCTGGTGTAAAGTCCCTTAACAAGCTCTTGTCTTGTGGCTTCGTAGGTGCCTCCTGACACAAGACGTCTCAAAAGTCGCATCTCCCAAGTGAGCACATGGTGTGTTGTATGACAGCTGAACGTGCTTGGTGACAAGAATTACCCGACACCCGTGTTGTATGTATCATATTGATCGAAATTGCCCTGACTACCAAGATTATGGCTCTACGACTGCTATGAACCCGAAGATCATCAAGTTGGCTGTCACGAAAGATGACCTTGTCGGAGCATGAAAAAGCGGCCGGTGTCTGATATGGAATGACGATTCAAGTACTTAGTATTCCGGAACAATACATTAACAAGACGAGTAGGGAGACGGGCTGAGGCGCGAAGATATATATGAAGGCCAAGGAGAGCTGCTTCGGACAGCCATGATATCCTTCGATGAAAAGGGACCCTAAAGAGGACGAGCAGAGGGAAGAAACGGATAGCTTAGCTTCACTTATTTCCGGCAGAATATTGATCTAGTCGTATGACCCAACAACACAATTTTGAGACTGTCTGTAAAACTAGACGCGTTGCAACCAAGGAAATTCATGTCCTTCTCATACTTAACTCACGGCTTATGGAACCTCCCGTTGTCATGAAGATAGCAAGAAGGCAGGCCGAATCTAACCTTCGGAAAAGTAGAAAGCAGGAATAGCAGTTGAGTGTCACATGGTTAGCATAGATTCGTCCAGTCCAAAGCAGTCCGGCAGCCCTGCAAGGCACCAGTGGCAATTCTCGGAACAGACCAAGACAGAAGTATACGTTTCTAGTATCCAGTTACGCTGCCTCGTGTGCTCAGCTCAGAAGGATATTTCAAAGAATAGAACGAAAAAAATGAACAAGATACACGAGCTCCTGTCGCTCGGATCGACCATGGCTCGGCCGAAATTATCCCACGCACCCAAATTCCCACGCAAATCATTTCCCGAACCGCTATCAGAACGGCCTTGTCTCAGCGTATTGCGTCGCTGGTGTCTGCTGCACACTGTTCATGCCGTTTGAACGGGGCGGCGCCGCGTCGAGTTCGTTGTACTGGTGACTTGGGGCCTCGTGGATGGGTTGGAAGGGCGCTTCGGCGGGCTCACTCTGGTGCCCGTATGCTGTTGAGTGCGGCGAGTGAATGTCCTGAGACGGGCTCGTGTGTTGTGTTGCGGCACTGTACTGCTGGTCGCCCTGCGGGTAGGCGTTGCCCCATGCAGCACCAGCCTTGTGCTCGTTCGACGCCGTGTATGTGTCGCCGTTGGCCGGCGTTGTGGCTTGCGAGGGCGGCATCTGGTGTATAAAGTCGCCACCTTCGGGTTTGCTGCCTGAAGCTGCGGCGGCCCGGGCGGCCCTGCGTCGGCGCCAGAAGAAGAAGACAAGCGCACCGATGAGGCCCAGGACCGCGAGGGTGGCGCCGACACCGATGCCCGCTGCGGCGCCGGGGGTGATACCACCGCCGCCACCATCTGAGCCTGAAGATTCATTTGCTGCTGAAGAGGATCCGCTCGTCTCGGCCGGCGAGCTGTCGGCGGATGTGGGCGTTGTCTCGGCTGCGGTGCTGGTAGCGGAGGTGGAAGCGGCTGTGGTGGCCGGAGGAGGAGCCGAGCTGACGGCCGATTCCTGACTCGTTAGCATCACTTTTGTCAAATCAATGATGGGCCCGGCAATCATACCCCCGAATAGATGGTTGACCAAGCCCCGTCGTTGACATCTCGTGCCGAGCTAAACACCCATCGCTGCGCCGGGTGCTGGGCATCCGACGTCTCGCCCTGGATCTGGTCGTTCAGGAAGAGGTTGGACCCTGGGTGGACATCCATGGCGTAGTCTGAGTTGTTGGACTTTGGCTTCCACAAGAATGCACCCGTGTTGCCAATTTCTTCGAAGTAGTGCTTCTGCGCATCGTCAACGCTGCTGGGTTGCATGCAGGCGATAGTCTTGGACTTGTGGTCCTCCTCGGGGTCCCAGCAAACAGAAAGCTGTCGGCCAACGCCGGAAGCATTGTGGCGCATCAGGTAAAGGCCCGGCTCGTTGTCGATAGGCTGCATCTGCCAGGCCTGGGCGACGAGAGAAAAGACACGAAGGCCATCGGTCGTCGTTTGGAGCGTGTTATGGAAGACGGGCGCAGATGCGTTGGTGACTCTCTCCTCAGAGATGTGGTACCAGACGTTAGGGTCAAACTCGGCCATGTTGTTGAAATGCGACGGTCGTCACAAGATGCAAGGTAGAGCTTGATGAGCGAAGTGTCGCGTCTAGTGCCGATTACTTGCGACTTCGAGTTTCTTTCGAGGAACAAATTTCGAGCAACTAGTCAGTCTCCTGGACAGACAGACAAACAGACTGACAGGCAGACGGAACGCGGTGCAGGAATTGTCATGGCCGCGACCTTTTGGGGGCCATGGAAGTTGTCCACTTCGCAACAGCAGCCCGTCTAGACCCATCTCATGACGACCAGGGGGACCCCGGCGAAAGCAAATCTCCAGCAAAGAGCTTTGACTGCCCTCTGGACCGTCGACAGAGGCTCACTGTGGGACCGACCAGGATCGGCGGGAGGGGGTAACTTCGCGGCCTGGCTGAGCCCCCGAAGGATCGCAACATGACACGATGAGTGGTCACGGCTGGCGAAGCTGGGGGTCGCGCGCAGTGAAACCCTACATGCGGGCGCGGTAGAGGCAGGTCTCTCTGGCGATCGGACCAGAAGCGTCTAAGAGCCAAGCAAGCATCCAGGCGTGTATGCCAGGCTTCGCGCTCTGGCGAGCGTGGTTCGCTAGAGCGGCGGCTCGAAAGGGCGGCCCCTGGTCCCGGGAGGAGTCATGGGAGTCATGGCGCGATCCTTCAATGCGGGTGGCAGCGGGTGGCCCACGGGTGGGCGATGGGCATGACGAAGGCTCTGCAAGCCGTCCACCCCTTCAGCTCTTTAAGAACCCGGGAGGGTGTTGTTGCCGTCAGGTCGGGTCAGGGATCGCTTAGCTTGCCGAGCATGGTGGCGTTCGCGATGAAGCAAGGAGGCGTGTCTTGTATTACCCAGGTAGGTATTACAAGGTAGCTGAAGGTGTTCGGAAAAGCGTAGAATGCCAGTCGAGATTCGAGTCTCGAAAGGTAGCCAGAGACCACACCATGAGCAAGCAAATCATGGCACGCCGCTAAGCAGAAACCCCACAAACTTCCTCCACCGTGATCTTAGGTTAACAGGGCCATGGCGGCGGGAACCACGGACCGTTCCAGGGGGGGGTCAAGTGCCACTGGGCTTTCTTTCAGCGTCACCTGTCTGTCAACGTGTGGGTGTGGCATCTGTCTTGTTCGATCGTCGCCATGGCTAGGCAACTGCAAAGACGACCCGAAACTCTCGGCAAGGGGCCAGCTCTTCTATCGGACGTCAATTCACCGATCAGAAGGATTCGAATGTGACATCGCAAGCTGATTGTCCCCAGACCAAAACCAAATGTTAAAGCCTGTGAAAAAAAAAAAAAAAACGTGAGCATCGTTAGGCCCAGACCTGCGAGCCAAGAGACGCCGAGGCAATGTTACAGGCTACAGAAACGAGCTACCAGTCAACCCAGCGCTATTTGGAGCCCTCAATTTCAGGGGTTGTCCGCTTAGAGCCCGACAGCCCCCAATGTTGTCCCACCAAAACTAGTCCCAATGAGCTCCAGCACCAGGCTCCAAGCCCCGAAAGATCTGTATTGCTACACGCCAGCGATTTGGTGCCCGGCGTGGCGCAGTGTGCCGCAAGGCTTGAGTTGTGGGCGCTGAAGTCTGACACGTGGGGTTGGTATTTATCTGGGTATGTTCAGCCCTGGGACAGATAGTGGCAATTGAAGTTGACAGATGCCGAACAAGATGGATCAGATACATGACACTTTCCTCCGACGTTCTTTCGAATGCCACATGTATCACGAGTTTCGACTTTAAAAGACCGCCTTTTGACACGTCAATCGGCTGTCAATGTCCTGGCCAGGATCATGCTGGCTGTCAGCATTGGCGCCCTTCTAGAGGTCCTGTCCCAGTCAACATGGATGGGGCGTCAGCACTAGACGAGAAAAGTGGCCTGTTGGCTCACGGTTCGTCTTGATTAAGCATACTGTAGTCTCATGGTTGCCGTTTACCCCTCAGCATGTTGGCGACACCGGAACTGCAGCCAGCACAGGTAAAATGCCACTTCCAACCACGGTCAATGAGCTCCAGCACTGTGCCCTCACCCTTGCCCTCCATGAGGCCCAACAGCAGCGTCGCGATCTGCAGGTTCTCAGAGAACTCGATCAAGATGGCCCGCACCTCATCCACTACCTGCGCGTTCTGCGTCTTGTACACCACGAATGCCAACGGGCGGATGAGGGCGCTCTCCAAACCCACAGGCACATCCACGGCTCGGTCAAGTTTCTGCCACACCATGCGCCTCGTCTCCCGCGCCATCTCCAGATACACCGGTGTTGTCGCCGCCGGGGGCCGCATGTGGTAGTCTGGTCTGAGACGTCTCTGCGCCTGGAGCGCAGCGACTGCTTCACGAAGGAGGCTCTCGAGTGTGAGGCACTGAAGGTATATGCTCGGCTGCGTCCCCTTGCCCTGCCGGGCGCTGTAGAGCAGGGGCCGGAAAGCGGATCTCCAACGATCCGTCAACGCGAGGCACTCTCCCCATATATCTGCCTCCTCCTCGCCAGCATCGCCTGTATTTCCCGTAACAGCTGCAGTGTGTCCTGCCTGTGTCGCCTGCCACGCCTGAATGGTGTTCATGATCTTGTGCTGCGTCACGTCCCACCACCGCACCGCGTCTTCGGTAGTGCTAAAACGCATCGGCATGTTCTGCAGACGATGACGGTGTGGGAGAGCTGACAGGAAGAGTCTTCCCTCTGCATCTGCAGCATCTATCTGCGCATCCTGCGCCCACGGGTGTGTCGCGATCCGCTGCATCATGTTGTAGGCACTCGACTCGAGCACGTCCAGCGGCAGCCTCGTCACGTCGAGGCCTGTCTCGGCGGACCTGCGGCTGATATGTTGGGCCATCATGCGGCGACTGTGCGCATAGTGGGCAAAGGCTGTCCTCGAGTCGCCACGCAGGATATCGGCCGTGACGAACATCAGAGAAGCGAGGATCGTCCTGAGAAAGCTGTCGTTCGATTGTCCCGCGCTCGCGACAGCCCGCAGCGCACGGCCGTAGTGCTCGAGCGAGGAACGGTGGCGCGCCTGGTCGATGGCCCGCGTGGCCTGTAGGTTCCGGAGGTTGAGGGCGCCGATGGAGCAGCAGATCTCACGGAGGGCCGCATCCTCCAGCGCCACCTTCGGGACCAGTTCCATGACATTGTCTGCCGGGAGAGACCCCCCTTGCTCTGCCACCTGGACGAAGGCGATGAACGAGTCCCACTCGTGCTGGCTTGGAAATAGGGTGGAAACGTAGTCGACGCCCTGTTGGACGTCCATTCGTTTCACTACAGCCTCGACCTGCCGCTGCTGCTGCTGCTGCTGCTGCTGCTGCTGCTGCTGCTGCCGGGGCTTCGGCCGGGGCACGACTGCACTGGGATGAAGGAGGCCCTCGCAGAGATGACCACCCTGTATGCACCTTCGGCAGACGGGCGTTGTCTCGTCACACTTGACTCGACGCCGCCTACGCCATGCCTCGTGTCAGTCGATGCAGTTCGGACGACAAGACAGGCCAACAAGACAGGCGGGTTGAACGTACTTGCACTCCTTGCACCCTGTGCGGGTTCGTGGAAAGCCGGCCCCTCTTGATCGGGATCGGCTCGGTAACGAGAAAACGGCCATGCCGGGGACGGCTTGCCTGTGGCGGTTGCTGTCAGTGGCCGGAGACGGGCTGGGACACTGCTTTTCCCAAAGAGCTAGAGGCTGTTCAAGAATGGAAGGTCAAACGTACTGAAAGCCGCCCGTGTTGGCATCATAGTGCTTAAACTTTAATCTGCCTGTCCTGGCCTCTGTAGCCTCCGCCGTCTCCAGACCGCCGCCCGAAGCTTCGGGGGTGGCGAGAGCGCTGCCAGAGGATGACAAGGGCGGCGCGCCCGCTGGGGGCTGCCGCTGCATCGTTCGAAACACCTTCGGCAGCTTGCTGACAGCGCCAACAGCACTAATAGAAAGCTTCTGACAGCGCCGGGCTTGGATGGGATGGGGATGGGGCTTGGTACTTGGGGTTCTGCTCGTTGGCCCCCCTCAAACGACATCACGAGAAGGACGAGGGGGTCTTGGCGGATGTTTTCTGGGGCCACGGCGAATCGGAGGCATGGGAGTGCGAATTCCCTGATTCGGCGGGCAGGGCCGAGGTTTTTGTGCTGAAGATTAGCTCTATTCTTAGGTCCCAGCACTGACGTTGCATCCTTTGCATGGGTACCATTTGCATGGATAAAAGGCATTTGCACATTGCCCGAGGTGGCTTTGTGAGCTCTGAACACAATGATTGTTGGTCGTTGAAATACATTGCCATTGGGCCGCCCAGGTCAGTTGTCTGACATGGCCAAACTTGAGTTCATGGCAGTTCCGGTGCACTCGATCCCAAGGGTAGGGTCGCGAATCCCCCAACCAAGGTTTCACTTCAGCCGGCGACCAGACATTGGATTTAAACAGCGCCAGAGTCGCGGCTCGGTGCTCAGCTTGGGAGAATCCCGACTCAATGACCCACGTCCTCTGTGAGAGAGGAACACGTGCAGGTCAGCATCCTAGGGCCCGATCTAGTCTGATTCCCAACCCAATTGCCATCCATCCAATTGTCACAAGTCAGCTTCTCGGCACCATCGGGCGGCACTCTGGTCGTCTGACTTGGCAGACGGCTTCGTCGGAAACCATGAGAGTGCCGTTGGATAAGCTGCCACATGCTCTGCCTCATTCACAGCCAACGGGAACAGATCTCGAGGATAGCGTCGGTAGCACTGCAGGCGATGATGTAGCCGAATTGAAGGTGTGCTGATGATGGTCACGTCGTGCAATACGAAGCCTTGAATCTTAAGATGACCATGCCCCCGACTGATTTGACATTTTCCTCGGGACTGTCCACAAGTTTCGACGGCTGGCGTTCTTCGGACTCGAAGACCTAAGAAGACAAGCAGACAAGAAGAAGAAAAAGAAGCAGAAGCCAGTAGCCGCCAACTGCACCAGACTCTGAGCGAGCGCACATCCTCGGCAGTCGTCATGGGATCTGCCATCACACTCACCAGCGCGAATGAAGAGGCCGGCCGCCAGCTGGTCGGCGAACACTTTGCCAGAGGGCTTTTCAGAGAATGGCCGAATGAAGCGGGGGTAAGCAACCAGAAGGAATGCTGCGTCAGGCAGCGCTGAACGTCGTTAGTTTGACGGCTTGACGGAGACGCGCGGCCCCGTTGACCTCGTAGTAAGAGGTCGCATTCCAGCTTGGGCAGCGGGGTCTCTTTATCGGACAGGCCCCGGTGCTTGTAAAGTCGAAGACACCAAATCCGGAACGCTTCACATATCGCACTGGTTCGACGGTCTCGCCCACACGCACAGGTTCGACATTGTCGAGGATGAGTCCGTCGCGGGCGGGATCCGCGTCCAGTATTCGTCGCGACGTCAGTCCGAAGCCCTGGAGAAGGACATCAGAGATTCTGGAGCCTACCGGTCTCTGTCATTTGGCCAACGAAGTGACCCTTGTATGGGTATGTTCGGAAAGCTCATGTCTGTGTTTCGTCGCATGAAGATCGAACGCTCCACGGATCTCGACAATGTTGGCGTAACCGTCAACGCAGACATCCCTGGCCTTCGAAGTCTAGCCCAGGGCCACAAAGATAGTGGCCACGCCACCCTTCCAGGTAACGTCTTCATCGGTACCGATGCCGCTGTGTTTGCTGAGATCGACCCCAAGACGATGGAGCGACTTGGCGTCATTAGCCACCAGAAGCTTCATACACAACTGCGCGGACCAGAAGCGCCGGCTCATGGCCACCGCGATCCCGAGACGGGTGACTACATCAGCTTCAACGCTGACTTTGGCCGCAAAGGCGTGTACCGTGTCTTCCTCTCTAGCGCAGAAACCGGCAAGACCACAATCTTGGCTTCTTTCAACGGTACTCCTGCCTACATCCACAGCTTCTTTTTGACGCGCAACTATGCCATCATCTGTGTGCCTTCGTCACATCTGAAGCTTGGGGGCGCAAAGGTCCTCTGGGAAGGTAGTATCGTGGAGGCGCTCCAGCCGTTCGACAACTCACTAGAGTGTCACTGGTATGTCGTCGACAGGCGCCTTGGCAAAGGGCTCGTGGGCGAATTCGCCTCCCCAGCCGGGTTCTTTTTCCACTCGACCAATTCGTTTGAGGACGATGAGGGGAATATTATATGCGAGTTGGTCGCGTACCCGAGCACGATGCTGATCCATCGTCTCTACTACGACATTCTTCTCAACAGGGATGGCAAGGGCGAGCAGTTTCTCTACGACAGCAAACGACTCGTGGAGACCTTCCCAGGCCTAGTGAGATACAAATTTCTGAAGACAGACCTCGTCTCACCAGGAAGCAAGGTCAAGGCACCGCTCCCGTCGCCGTCGAAGGAGTGGGAGATTCCGGCGCCTCACGTCGGCGAGCTGCCAACAATCAACCCCGCGTATGCCTGTCGGCGGCACCGCTTCGTCTACAGCCTCATTGATCGTGGGTACAGCACTCTCTACGACGGTATTGCCAAGACGGACACGCAGACGCGGGAGGTTCTGGTATGGAGCGGACCGACAGGCCACACACCTGGGGAGGCAATTTTCGTGCCTCGACCGAGCACCGTTGACAAACCTTCGCGGGAGGACGACGGGGTGCTTCTAAGTGTGGTACTTGACGGGCATAACCGGACGAGCTATTTGGTTTGCCTCGATGCGCGGACAATGGAGGAGCTAGGGCAGGCAGATTGCAATTTCGCGGTTGGCTTTGGTTTTCACGGGCAGCATGTCAACGGGATCTAGGGC